CTGGTTGCTTCTCTCTCTCTCTCTCTCTCTCTCTCTCCTCCTTGTGGGTGTTTTTTGGTTTCCTCATTTGCTCTACAGCAACGCTCCTCGTACCTAAGCTAAAGGTCCCTGCAGTGCCCAAAAATCCTGCGGGGTTTGCTCATCCAGTGGGTTACTACCAGAACAATTGTAACGTGAAAGTGGGGATTGGGATATGCTGAACCTGGGACATATAAGGGAGACAGCTTGGAGGTGCTGCTTGACCCAACCTACTGAGTCCAGGGGTGTGTGTGTGTGTGTGTGTGTGTGAGTGAGTGAGTGATATTCTGGGACTGGAAGACCCCAGCCCTAGGGAACCTGCAGGATAGCTTCCCTGGGAGGGACTTGCAGCAGGGAGAAGTCGAGCTCCGTATGAGAACACAAGTAGTACATTGATAGAAGTACAGAACCCCGGCCCCCCAGAAGAGTAACCCTAATAAATGAGCATACCCCAAAGTAACAGGGAAAGCTGGTAACAGCAGGAAGGGATTTGGGGTGCAAGCTCTGGGAGGAAGTTTGGATGCTGGAGGGGGCTCAGGGGTGGGGCAGGAGGTTGGGTGTGGGAGCGGATTTGGGGTGCTGGCTCTGGTTGGGGGCTCAGAACTGGGGAAGGAGGTTGGGGACGGGGTGAGGGGTTCGGACTCCGGCCAGGCAACACTTACCTCGGGTGGCTCCCGGGTGGCGGCACAGCAGGGCTAAGGCAGGCTCCCTGCCTGCCCTGGTCCGGCGCCGCACCTTGAAGTGGCCGGCAGGTCCCTACAACCCCTGGGGGTTTTCAGAGAACACTCCACGGTGATTCCAAAATCTCTTTCTTGGGCAGTAACAGCCAATTTAGACCGCATCATTGTGTCTGTGTAGTTGGGATTATTTTCCCCAACGTGCATTACATTGCACATTGGAACAAAAAATTTACTTTGCACTGGTGGGGGCTCTCTGGCACTATTAATTCCAATAGAGCTAGGGGGGCGGGGGCGGGGGGAATTCACAGCAGGTGGAGATCTGGCCCGAGAGCCCTGTTAATACTTGTTAACCACTGTCACACAACACCTTTCTCGGCTGGCCGGTTGTGGTATGACAGTAATATTTTCCGATGTGTGCTCAAACCACACTTGCAAAATAGATCACCCAAGACTTCAGTCAATAACCAGTCTGGCTAGTTTGTTCTTCCCTTAGACACTCTGCCCAACTCTTTGAACCATGTTAGTGATATTGATCCATTCGAATGCTACATCACAGAAAACCTTTCACCAGCACAATGCCAGGCACACCAGCGGCACTGGGTAAATCATTCCCAGGCTGAACCAATGTCCCACCTGGTGTTAAAAAGAGAACAGAAGATGTCTCCTGGTTAATGCACTGGACTGGGACCCAGGAGATCTGGTTACAAAGTTCTGCCGCTAACTTGGTGTGTAACCTTGGAAAGTCACTTAGGAGCAGACCTTCAGAGGTATTTAGGCACCTGGTTTCAATGGGAGTTGATCCCCAGCTGAGATCAGGGCCCCGTTGTGCCAGGTGCTGCACAGACACACAGGGAGTCCATGTGGCAAAGAGTTCACAAATGAAATATACACAAAACAGGTGGGGAAACTGAAGTACAGGGGAAAGAAGTGACCTGTGCAAATTCACACAGCAGGTCAGAACTCAGATCAGAACAAAGCCAGGAATTTTAATTCCCAGCCCAATAGTTTAGCCCCTGTGCCTAGACCCTACAACAGGTACCAGAAAGCTACCGTGCAAGACAAGTCCCTGGCCCCAACACTGCCCCAGTCTCCACATTTCAAGGCCAGTTGCATTGGTTTAAGGCTGCAGGACCTAGTCAGCCCTGGCTGTGACAGGACCCTTCGCAGTCACATGTGAGAGGAGTGGAATTCAGCTCTCAGAGGCGGCACTTCCTGATGTTGGATTGAGATCAATTACATTCACATACCCAGCGGCAGGCTGCCCTGAGCACACAGCCAGGTGTTCTTATCAGCTGCTCGCATCATGACTGGGGAGATAGTCTATGCTGATCTGAACCTCCCCCCTGGCTTTCCTGGCTCCAGGGCACCCCTTTCAGCTCAGCCCCACAGTAAGTGCCTTTTATTTCCCCAGAGGGGTGGGGGGGGGGGGTCGTTGTAAACCCAAAGATGGATTTTGCTGGGGAGCCCCTTGCATTCACTGGCTGCTCCTGAGCAGGTCTGTGCCAGGGGAATTTTTGGCTTTTGGGGAGGTGGCTGCAACACATTTGATCAGCTCTCTGTAGCAGCTCACTTCTGTGTGCGGGGCTCTCGGTGCAGAAGCCTGGGGTGGAAAGAGGAAGTCCATGCACCCACTCGCCAGTCTGGATGGTGCATTAGATGGTACTTCTCCAATTACAACCCACCAAGTTCTAGCTGGGGGCTTGTGGCGTTCTAGATGGTTGCATGATGGACTCAGGCTACCAGGGCATTGGCAAGAATAATGTGAACTGCTCAGACACGTCCCTGGAGTGGGGTTGAGCTGTAGACACTACATTAACTCTAGTGCTATTGAGACAGCGGGGGCTGTCTCTGGTATATGCTCCTGCAGCCCCCAGCCCAACAGGGCCCTGATCTCACCCAGCATCTCAGGGTGCTACTGTAATTGACACGTCCTTCCGGGGAAAGCCAGTACGTGCAACTGTAATGCTGCCTCCGGGCGTCCTCTGTAATGGTCCATGGAGCTGCTACTCGAGAGCTGAGGAGTGCTGGCTGGGCGGGGAAGGCTGGTGTCTGGGGTAAACCCCCGCACTGGGAATCTGGACATGGTGGGTCTTATTTAGGTCAAGTGCTCAGCCCCCCACAGCTGGAGCCAGTTGTCGGTACACAGCTCAGCACCCAGCCTGCCTCGGCCCCTATACTCCACACCGGCAGCACACGGGGGCAGGATTTTGCTGCAAGTGATCAGAGGAGAATTTCACCCAGTGCAGGTACAGCATAGGGCGGCCATAAGCTACACTGCTTCCCCTCATTCCCCCCCCCCAAAAAAAACCTAGCAGAGAACGCTTTCCAGCAGGGGTGGGTGAGGGAGCAGTAAGGAGAATTTCTGCTGCTCCAGATAATCTGAGTTGCCCTGGACTGTCCATAAATTAGAGCAACCCCAGGGCTGTTCTAATTGACACCTGGGGCTGTTTTGGAGAAGCCCAGAATCACAAGCCCCGGGGTTCACTTCCCCTGCTGCACAGAATCTCTGCAATGCGTGGCATTAACTTGCTTTTTAAGAAACCCTTCAAGTCTACATTTCTAACCTCACTCTGGGCAGCTCTGACTTCACAGCAGCTATATTTAAGCTATTGTTTCCTCTCCCTGCCTCCCAACCTTGGTGGGGGAAATGCACATCTCTGCAGAGGGCGCAGCGCAAAGGCCAATGCCCTACTTGTAACCTGCAAAATAGGACTAGAGAGGTGGCTAGCCTTTGTGCTGGTTCTCTACACAGGGGTGAATTTCATCCCGTGCACCCAGTTTCTTCAGGGCAGGGCATGTCTCTTGTTAGGTGTCTGTGATTCATACACGTTGCATGTCTGTAAGTGTCGTTCTGATCATCAAGTCTGACCTCCCGCATAACCCAAGCCAGAGAGTTTCACCTACAGACGCCGGCTTTGATTAGAATTCAGCAAAGAACTTAACACCTGTGCCTCTCTTTAACCACTTCCTTAACCCCATTACAGTCAATGGGACTGGAGTAAGCTGTTAAAGTTAAACCCACATCCAAGTTCTTTGCTGGATAAGGATGTTTTGCTGAAATGGGCCCTAATGGACATGACTGAGTCCAACAGGAACAAAGCATGCAGGCCACACTTACAGGATGGGGGGGGGCACTCTGTCTTGGGGAGCAGGGACTCTGAAAGAGATTCGGGGGTCATGGGGGATAATCAGCTGTACATGAACTCCCAGTGCGATGCTGTGGCCTAAAGGGCTAATGCTACCCTGGGATGCATAAACAGGGGGATCTCAAGTAGGAGCCGAGAGGTTATTTTAGCTCTGGATTTGGCCCTGCTGCGACCGCTGCTGGAATCCCGTGTCCAGTTCTGGTGATCACAATTCAGGAAGGATGTTGCTAAATTGGAGAGGGGTCAGAGAAGAGCCATGAGAATGATTAAAGGATCAGAAAACCTGTCTTGTAGTGATAGACTCCAGGAGCTCCATCTATTTAACAAAGAGAGGGCTAAGGGGTGACTTGACAGTCTATAAGTATCTACATGAGGAAGAAATATTGAATAACAAGCTCTTCAATCTAGCAGAGAAAGGTTCTAACACGATCCAAGGGCTGGAAGTTGAAGCTAGACAAATTCAGACCGGAAATAAGGTGTAAACTTTTAATGGTGAGCGTAATTAGTCATTGGAACAATTTACCAAGGGTCGTGGTGGATTCACCATCACTGACAAGTTTTAAATCAACCCTGGGTGTTTTTCTATAAGATCTGCTCTAGGAATTATGCTGAGGAAGCTCTCTGGTGTGTGTAATACAGGAGGTCAGAATGGTCCCTTCCGGCCTGGGAATCTCTGAGTAGCTCGTAGTTAAACTGTGGTTAGTTCAATCGGTTTGTGACAAGGGCTGGTATTCTTGGTCTTCGACATTTTCCATGGAATCTTTTTAATCCCCATTTTTTTTTGTTTTCGAACATCATCATTTTGAAATGTTTTGATTTCAAGACAGAGAAATGTTTAGAAGAGGTTTAGAAAACATGCCGGATGAGGAGAGGTTGAAAGAACTGGACATGTTTAGTCTAGAGGAGAGACGGCTGAGGGGGGACATGAGACCAGTCTTCCGGTATGAAAAAGGTTGTTCTAAAGAGGGTGTTGATCAGTTGCTCTCCATGGCCACTGAAGGTACAATAGACAATAATCAACTTACTTTGCAGCAGGGGAGATTTGGGTTAGATTTTAGGAAAAACTTTCTAACTCTAAGGGTAGTTAAGCGCTGAACCAGGTTAGCTAGGGAGGTTGTGGAAACTCGGGCATTGGAGGGTTTTAAGAATAGGTTAAACAAACACCAGACAAGGATGGTCTAGGGGTAAATACAGTCCTGGCTCAGTGCGGTGTGAGGGAGAGGGGAGGGGGGCTACATGACCTCTTGAGGTCCCTTCCAGCCCTACAGTTCTGTGATTCTATGTCTTCAAGATTGAAAGATGTTCAGTCTGAAACAATAATGTCATGTGACTCAGCTGACCAATCAAGCTCGGCCATGCAACATAGTAATTAAGCCTTGAAAATGGAAAGAGAAAGCACCGAACCAAAGATGTTTACAAATGGGAAAAAGTTTCCAGCCAAAAATGTTGCGAATGGGAAACCTTTGAGAAAATCAAATCTGGGAAAGCAAAATAATAATAGTGATGCCGAATCCTGCCCAGGCCATTGTAGGTTGCTCAGGGGACGACCCAGGCTCCACCATTCCTGGCTAACCTGGGACGCTCTTTTCCTATCTTCTGTGTTGTTATGTTCTGTAAGTTCTCTCTCTCTCTGTCTACGCCTTTGGTGGATTTCCAGCTTTCACATCTATACATTAGGGTGGAAATAACAGGCCCCAATCCTGTAATGAACTCCATACAGGCATAGGATTCTACCCACACTGTAAGATCAGGGCTGTGTTTTCCTTTGAAACAGTCTTTCATACACCAGGTTCCGATTGTTTCTCACCAGACGTTGGCTCTTACAGGTCCCCCGAGTCCCCGGTGGCATCGGACAGCGCTGTGGGTCGGATGGATTGGGAATATTGTCCTGGTGATTGCTGTGATAGCGCTGGGGATTTGGGGTAAGCAGCTGGCAGCACTGGGTTTATTTGTGTGGGTCCATCCGTGTATAGCATGGATTGTCCCGACCCTCCAGAATTCCATTGTGGAGCCCCTCCCACTAGCTGGTAAATTTCTTTGATGTTCCAAAGAGCTTGACTGTAACACAGAGAGAAAATTAGATAGCTGGGTGTGCATGGGGATGGATGGATAACTAGATAGATCCAGGCATACACTAGAACTGGTTAAAAATAACGGGAACATTTTACTGATAGATTTAAAAAAAAAAAAACCTTGTCACCCTCTTTTCAAAATTCAAAAGACCCCCTACATTTTGAAAGTTCAAAATTTAAAAAGCTCCACAAGTTGGTTGAAAAATGGGAGGGAGAGGGGAGAATTATGTGACAGTTTCATCAACATTTTTCCTCATTTTTTGTTTCAAATTTCAAAATTACATCGACATTTTAAAATTAGAAAAAAATTTCAGCCAACTCTAATACTAGCACTGACTGAGAATTTCTCATCCAAATGTGTTTTTTAAAAGGAAAATTAGGATTTTGCTATATAGGTAGCACTCCAATCCCCCCGGCTACCTTCTTTAGCACCAGTCCCGATTTTGAGGAACGGGCCTGGGTTCTTCTGGATCCCGCTTTCCACTCCCCAGGTTATAACATTTTTATTTTCTTCCCATATGAATTTATTTGCGGGTGCCTCCAGCCCCCTCGCTCCTGCCTGGCAGGGTCACAGACACACAGCGAGAGACAGGCCCCTCCCGCCACCCAAAAGCTCACTATCTAAATAGG